TTAATGTTCGAATGGGAATTTCTCACCAAAATCCAAATCTTGTTCTTTATGCCTAGTGCAGCATATTTCCACACCGATTTCAGATTAATGCAAAGGTCTGTCTCGCTATTCCGAGCCTAACTATCTTTGGCATTCTCATCTGTGCAGCCTGTAGTCGATGCTGTGCACTTTGGACAAGTTCTATAGATGGTGACCGGCGCTTGTTGTTGTTGTTGATTAGGTGTCTACATCACCTCTGTCTTCTCTATGTTCATTTGAGGTCCTCTCTTTTTTATGCCAGTTTGTTGGGTCTCAAATGTAGGGGTCTCCGAGTTTGTGTGATATATTATACATAAATTATCCACGAAGGTGGAAGTCTTCAGGAGTCTTCTTGTCAATACCAACATACTGATGTCTTCTTGCACCCGAAAGGTCTACTGCGTAGCAATGAATAATCAATCACAACTTTCTTTCCTTTTGAGATGAATGTATCTTAGCGTCATTATCCTCGAGGAGATTGGTTCCTGATGCTCTCGTTAGATTGAATGTTAGTGATAAATGATCAATTTTAGATTAAAAATAGATCAAGAATTCAAGTGTTGGTTTGTAGGGATTTGATTGGTTACAGGATTTTCACCATCATGCGGTGACATTAGTTAGAGAACCATTGGAAAACCTGCAAGGAGTACTGGACAGCTGTTTCGTGCTAGTTTGGGACTCTTCAGCAAAACGCATCCACCGGGCTTCGAACCCAGGACCTTCTGGCTACAAGGCGAGCTCGTATACCATTGTAGCCAGAAGGTCGTGGGCTCGAAGCCCTGTGGGTGCGTACTACTGAAGAGTCCCAAACTAGGACGAAACAGCTGTTTAGTACTCCCTGGCAGGTTTTCCAATGGTTCTCTAACTAATGTCAGCTCATGATGAAGATCCAGAATTACTGACGAGATGGTCATGCATATATCCTGGTTGTAGGTGGCAAACATACCAATCTCATTTTGACTTAACAGTATGTATTTTCCCGTCTGTTTGTCAGTGTTGTGACAATGTCTTTTATTGAAAGGTGGTAGGTCATCGCTGATAGTCACATAAAAAAGGCTTTTTACTTCAGGTATAGTGGCCATAAACACTGTTATCTATCTGTCCTGCCATCCATCAAGAATTTTCCCATTATTATTATTGTTTCCTTTAATTCCTAGAGGAACATAGGGCTTCAGCCATGCGTCTCCATTGCGTTCGGTTCTCTGCTAGAGTCTTCACCTGGCTCCAAGTTTGCCCACACGCTTTCATCTACTCTTCACATCACCTCCTCCAAGTCACCCTCACCCTCGCACTGATGACCAACTTGCCGCTTCCCATTCCGTCGGGTTCCACTCGAGCGATGGCTTGTCTAGTGATGTCACTTGATGGTTTGTTTCCTCAGAGTATGGCCACAATCCAATCCATCTCCATTTCTTCCTGCCTAATTGTCTTACAATGGGTTCCTGCTGTGTTGGTTCGCTCATTGCCAGAGATCCCACCCTGTTGCTGATCTTTTCTGGCCAGCCATCTGATCTTGAGTGATATTGAGCGAAGACAGCTGTTAATGAAGCTCTGTAGTTTGTTTGAGATGCTCTTTATGACGCGCAGTGCAAGTCTCTGATCCGTATGGTGAGTAGCACTGACTGACTTCACATTGGAGTTGAAAATCCGGATCTTATTTTTGATGCTGATTGCTGTTGACCTCCACACAGACTTGAGAGTAGTGAAAGCTTGTCTTGCTTTTCCGATCCTCGCTGCTTTGATATCTTCGTCATTTCCGTTCACCTGTAGTTGAAACGATGCTTCCCAGGTAGGCAGATGAAGGAGGTTGTTTCTTTCAGGTTCCTTCCATTTATGCCGACTGATTGTTGTCTGTTGTTGTTGTTGGCCAGGAATCTTCATCCCCACAGCTGTTTTCTCTATGTTCACCTGAAGGAGGTCCTATCTTCCCTGGATGCTTCTTCTGCCAACTTGTTGCTTTTCGCTTGCATATCTTCCAGTTTGTGGGAAATCAGACAAATATCATCGGCGAAGTCCAGCACGACGAATCTCCTTGCGCCAAAAGAAAAAGTCTGTATGGGGACATGGAATGGCCGCACCATGTACGAGAATTTCCCCATTAAAGCTACAATTACTGATCCACTAAGACTGATTTTCTCCTGAAAGTTCTTGATCAATTTAGAGTGCTCGGGCACCGGAGCACCAGAGTGCTTTGGAAAATAAGATACAGAGACCTTGAAATCGGATTACGTTTTTTTCTACCATTACTAATGTACGCACATCAAGTCTGATGTATGTCGCGTTACAAGAAGTTAAACTAGTTCAGGCCGATTAACGACCAGCATAACCTGGGGCCTCACTAATTGTTACACCTTTCTGTTACCCTTAACATTTTCGAACATGTTAAAAAAGCTGATGTGTGTAGCAGCAAGATTTGTATAAAATTGTAACATTGAGATCATGGAAGTTGGGTGTTCAATAATTCATTAAAAACTGTGAAACTTTGTCGCTGAGGTTACCAGACAGGTCATTACATTTGCTAAGCCTTGTGTCTTCCGACGTATATCTATCTCAGTTGGGCTGCGTTTTCCAACCAATGGTTGGAAACAATTGGTGACATGGCTCAAAATCGTTCTCAGTGGCGCAGATGCATCCACTCCTTGTGACTCATGATTTCCAATGAAACTGTTTTGTTCTTTGTTATTACTATTCCTCTGTCTTACACCTCTGTTTACTGTCTCTCTATTATGCATTTCTCCTACTTTCTTCTCTTCCTTTGTGTGCTACATGGAGTGGAGTGTGGCGACTTGAACTGCCGCACATATGTGCAAAGTTCTATGTCGAAAACCGACCGACCGACCGACCGATGCACATATGTGCGCTTACTCTTTGCCAATAACGGCTTTATCCAGGGTCGGTTTTCTCTGCATTTGTTACATATATATGTGTGTGTGGGGAGGGAGAGAGAAGTATCAGAATGGCATAGCGTAAACTTGGACATTCCATAAACAGATTGACACGTTTACCGAGAACAAAAATTCTTTAGGCGATACACTGACGCTTGCATAACACACTTAACGACAATCAACACTTAGAACTAACCAAATAAAACGCTGTCAGCTGACAACTAGTTGATAAAAGGTTGGCATTATCCTCTGAGGTCGGGTTGGTCGGTTTTCGACATAGAACTTTGCACATATGTGCGGCAGTTCAAGTCGCCACACTCCCTCCACTCCATGTAGCACACAAAGCAAGAGAAGAAAGTAGGAGAAATGCATAATATGGACAGTAAACAGAGGTGTGGTGAGACAAAGGAATAGTAATAACGAAGAACAATATAGTTTCATTGGAAATCATAAGTCACAAGGAGTGGATGCATCTGCGCCACTGAGAACGATTTTGAGCCATGTCACCAATTGTTTCCAACCATTGGTTTTTACCGTCCCGAGGACCCCAACCAGTCAGGAAGTCTACACCTTCCTACGTGGCTTAGACTAACTGTTGTAGATTTCATTGACTGGTGAAGCCATGTTTTGGTTTGACCGCCGCTAGCTCTTTTCCAGTCTGGCCCTATATCAGCTAACATTGCCCATTGTTGAGGAAGGCGATGACTAGGCATGCATACGTAACACATGTCCTAACCATCTCAGCCGATGTAATTTCACAGTCTCGTCGATTGATTTCCCCTCCCACCTACCTAGCACTCGACCGACGCCTAACCTCTATATTGTTCACCTTCACATGGGATAGAACGCAGGCACCTAGACTTTTTGGTCATTGCTATGAAGGCAAAGAATGCTGTATGCATGTGATGCATGGAACACATTTCTATAAGCATAAAATTATTTATATATTTATAAGCTGAAACAGATAAGAGTGGCAAACAAAATCTGTAGTACATGAATCAATAGTTATTTTAAACGTAGAATCCAAATGAGATCTCAAAATGCATGAGATGTTGTTTTTGTTTTGGACTAAAGAAGAGAACAGTCTTCTAAAGAAAAATGATGAAGAAATGAATCAGAGAAACAAGAGTTTGCATTCAGGCATTTCTTGGATAACTTTATCACATTTTTTTAGTCTAGAAGAAGTGTATGCTTGAATCCTCAACGTGTACACGATTGATTATCTCCTTTAGGCTTAAAGTAACGTGATGAATGCTTTAAGATATCTATGCCTGAAATATTGCATTGCAGTACTACTCTGTGACGCAGAAAATAACTCAACACATACATTTTCCTGGATGATGCTGTGTCACGTTACTAAAATTCTGCAAAAAGCTCAATATTGTATGTATTTACAAGACGACACACTGTTCATTTCAGCTATGGGCATAGTGATCACCGTCATTGTTGCTGTTGGTGTTTCATTCGAGTCTGTTTTAGACAGTTCAACACTCTGAAATAAGCATCCAGTTTCTCTTTGCAGTAATATTGGAAAGTAGAATTGCATTTTCTTAGCTTTTAAGTTGTTGTTTAGAGGTGTGGCAAGCACTGGATTAATTTTTGTCAGTCTTAGTTGCTGTTGTTGTTGGTCACTGGTCACTGTGATAGCGTAGACAGTATGAATCATCACTTTTATCATCATCATTTAAAAAAATAGACGCCTCTGTCATACTGTTATAATGTCTTACATACTGTATTCGATCGTCTTTATTCATATTGTCTCCATCGAGGATTTTATCCGAAGATGGTGTTCCAAGGAAAGAGACTAAACTGCCCGTTAGACAGGTTGCATCATCAGCTTCATCCTCGTGGGTGTTTGTATCTTCTCTGCAGTGATATTGTAACAACAGAAGACAAGGGCCAGGCAACAGATCGTTTATTATGGAAAATCAACACGTATTTATAGATTTTTATGTACATTATTGTAGGTCAATGTTAGTGGAAAATACAGTCTGTTGATTGGTTGCTTCTTACACAAAGTTAACCTTGCATATCTTGTGGCTGTGTCAGTTCAACTATATGTTAACTGTATTCGCCTGTCCACCTTGACCTTTGACCTCAATTACTGTAAACCAATTTGGCTAGCGACCATCTTTCACCACAATATAATCCTGGCGGTTCACTGAATGGTATCCTACTATAAGCTGGAAAACATCTATATGCAGGCCTATATACTGCAAAACTATGCAGCGAGTTCACCTGGTGTTTTATGATAGACTCTGATAGTGTATTAGATAATTCATCTTCGATTTGTAGCAGCTGTTCGTGTCCACGCTTTTCCAGCTCACTAAATAAACGTAAGCTTATTGTACACATTAAATAATTTTGTTCAGGTGATTGTTCTTCGCTTACCAACATCCATTGAATTGAATCTTGCATTCTTTCTAATATTTCTAAATTGTTTATATCTTGTTGTACAGGTTGTAATTGGAGGATAATTTGTCTGTTACTTGTGTCTACGAATTTCATTGTATCGGTTTCACGAATATAGTTATCATGGCGTTTTATGGCTTGTATTTCTACTTTGTACTTATCAATTATAACAATGAACATTCCCGCTGTTTGATCGCATTCCTGAGTCGAAGGTGTTTCAAATGTAGATGTGTAGAGTCTTTCAAGTGCAACCTCTAAAACTGTATTGTCCACACAAATTATAGCTATAGCCTGGACTTCTTCTGCCTGGCCTGGTTTATTTCCCACAGTTGTTTTACTTCTACTTCTTGGAAAGATGCTAGTGTCTGGTAGATGATATTCACGGATAACACTATCTTCTTCCGATTCAATGTCAACTGTTGGTTTCTGCTTGACAAAAAATACAGATTTTCTTATACCAGAGTATCCTGTTGACGATGAAGTTTTATTATCATCTTTTTCTTTAGGATGCAATGTCCCATCTGCTGGCAAACTTCTAACAGCAATTCTCTCTCTTTTCTCCTGTTGACTGTCGTTATTATGAACAATATTTTGGCGTTTTCTGTCGATTAATTTCAACAATAAATTGGTAATATTTGTTGAGGCCTTCTTTTTTAATTGTTTTTGCTTTATTTGTTTTAAGTGTTTATATTTATGTCGCATAATTGGCTGGTCCGTTTTGTCGGTAAGCACTGACGACGATGGTGTCTCTTGTTTCTGGTGTTGTTTCAGTTCAACTGCCACTTGACGTTTATCATTTGAAGAAGGCTTATATTCACTCAGGGTTTTTATTGCATCGTGCATTACAGGTGATTCCCTCCTCAGTGAATTTGATTTCCTATTTCCTATTTCACTGATATTTATACAGTCTTCTTGTCCCTGGTTGTCTTCATGGATAGCGTCTTCGTCGCCAAAGCGTATTTGTGTTTTAATACTATGTAACAGTTTGTTTGTAAAATCCTGGCGATCATCATTTGAAATTCTTTTAGGATCTATGCCTTCATGTTTTAATTTTATTAGCTGCTGTACATTTAAGAGCACTGATTTTATCTCGGGTGCATTGAGTAAATACTTATGTTCATCGGTGTTAGACAGTAAACTCAACAGATATGAAACATCTTTCAGTGACAATACACCATTGATATTCTGTGAAACGGGCGGTAAGATGGACTCATCACTTACAGATTTTCGGGGAAATGGTTTTTGTTTTTTACGCCTTATAATACACCCCGAATTTATAAACTTGACTAACCAATTGCTGAATCCACTGGCGGTGTCAGTCTTACGATTGAACTGCCGAACTTCTACTGACTGATGATAATGATGATGATCAGAGATGTTGTTCATTTGCGAATGATCTTTAGCAGCAACAAGAGGTCGCTGTGCTACATCATTTACAGTAGAGTTCTTTTCATCTGCTTGAACAGGGCTGAAATGACTTCGTACAAAATTACCTTTTTCATAATGTGATTTTAATAATTCAAGGTTTGATATTCCACTGGATTCCACGGTTGCTGGTTGTTCAGATATCTTTTCAGTGATGTTCACTTCTTGATGTTGTTTACTGCAAGCTGGATAAGTCTGTGACAGTGGCATCACAATTAAGTTGTCAATGTTAACATTATCACTCGCAATGATCTGTGTGACCTGTTCACCTTTGTACTGTTCTTCTACCTGTTGAAGTATACTCAGTCTGTTCTTTAATTCTTTTCGGTCGATTAAGGTGATGTAGATTACTGTATTAGTCGGAACAGCAGCAGCAGTAGGCTCATTGTGTTGTTCATTACTATTACTATCATCATCAGTGCAGCTTTGCAGTGATATTTGCATCTCTTCAGTCCAGCTATTGCCAGCTGAACCATGAGTAATAAACACTGCTGAATTTTCTTCAAACATTAATACGTGATACTGTGGTTGATGTACTGATAAATTCTGCAGTTCCATTACACTGCACAAATCTTCACCAATAATGTTTTCACTGAGAACGTCTGAAGTGATTTCAGTCTCACAGGAGTGAAGTATTGTATATTGTATTAAATTCGGAATTAATATCAACTTGAAAAAATCATCTCCAATATTATTATTATGGGATTGTGATGACGAGAGAAGAATATTTTCCGGAGTACTTTGTTGAATCAGCTGTCGCTTTAGTAGATCTGGTTTGCAGAGGGATATTTTCTCATTGACGATAACCACTGTTTTACTACTGTATTGAGGCTTTTCTTCACATTCCCGGATAACATCCATGTTCTCTTTTTCAACATTCACTGAGGTAGCTACACAGTTCCTCGTAAAAGTATGATATTTCTTCTCTGGACTGTCACCTCTTCTGGATTCATTTAACACAATAATTAAAATTGGCTGCTTTCTATTTAATAACGAAGCACTTTTATGCCTTCTATTTCGACTGCTTGTCAGTATTTGTTTGTTAATTGTGTTAATTCGGTTAGTCGAATTCAGTGGTAATTTTCTGGTTTTCTGTAATAACTGGGGTGATTTGATTGTCATGGGTGACTGGGTTTTCCATGCCTGCTTCTTCCCAGTGCTTACCACTGAATTGATCTTTTCATTTCTACACTGTTTTATGCCTACTTCAGATCTGCTTCTTCTAAAGTAATGCTTGTCACTTTGATTTACATGAGTTACACGGGTCTTGCTCAACTTGCTCATGCTGCTGATGATCCCGTTAGCAGATAGTAGTCCTGCAGAGGGATGGATCTCTGTCACTGATGCTTTCACTTGTTGACCAGTTGAAGTTTTCCAACAGTTATCACTACTATTAGCATATCGCATTTTCCAGTGAGTTGCAGCTTTAATATTTTCCAAAGAATTTTCTGTATTTTCTTTAGTCATTGTGTCACATAAAAAAATTGTGCAGTTTAATTGTCTCAACTTTTAATCATTTTTATTTTAATGTAAGCAAACTTTATTATGCTGGAAATAAAATTTTCATCAATGATTAGGCGTAGAAAATGTTCCTTCCGTAGTGGAATTGCTTTTTTTCACCAATTATGTAATCACTTTCAACAGCGCATGTACAAACAAGCATGTCAGCCTTGATGATTAATTGTAATAAATATTTATATATTAGATTATCAACCACGGTTAAGATTGGCGTATTTTTTTAATTATATCGATTAATTTAATCATGTTATGCTGGATGGAATACCATAATTTATAGGCCTAAAAATAAATACTGTTTTAGTGTATTGAAGGCGTATCTGTACTGCAAACAACAAGCTGAGGATCCCTACAATGCCTTGCGTTCTTTTGAATGAAGTATTATTGCTATTCTAGTTGCTATTATTATTATAATTTTTATTATTATTAGCTGGGGTAGTATTAGCAGTGGGCGTATTTTCCGCTTGATGGCATGGACACCTGGCACACTCACCAGTTAAACGATTTTTCTCCGGTGAATCAGAAACAACTTTACCATTTTTCGCGTTTTGATTTTTCTCCAAATCATACCAGTGGACTAAATGATATTTGTGCATTGTACCACAGTCTGAAATTTCGTTGGTCGTTGTGTTCTGATTGGTATTGCATACATGATTACTTTTCACCGTAGAATCATGGGGGCATTCACACATAATTGGCATATGCTTACAAGAGCTGATTATGTACTCATTATCATCGAACGGTTTCGATGAGTAGACTGTAAACACATGGGACCAGTGTGATTGGTCGTTTTGATGATTATTATGAGCTGGACAGTTTGTGCTTTTTGTTTTTGCAGTGTTTTTTAAACACACTAGGTTAGTTGTATTTGAAGAAGTGGTATTGTGTTCCTGGGTATTTCTGTCCACCTCCTGATATTGATGGTAGTGGGGATGATGTTGTTTTTGATTGGAAACAAATGTTCTATTGGCGTTTACATTTACATTTGTACTCGTTAGTAGTTTGTCCTTGCTGGGATATTTTTCTGTCGTGTGCGAATCTTTCAGTTTAAATCTATTGAGAAGTTTGTCACCATCTTGTTGATCTAAGTGTTTTGATGTTTGACTGACCGCTGTAACCTCACTTTGACTGTTTGTTAATTCGGAACAATAGGGTGGATTGCAAACAGGATAACATGCAGTTAGCCAGTGTAATCTACTTTCACTGCAACAACTATTCGGTGACCGTGAATAATAATAATACGGTGTATCATTTACAGATAAATATGGAGGCGATTGCTGATTCACTGGTGTACACGCCTGTCTCTCTATGGATGTTGAAGACGGGATTGATATGTTTGTTTCATGAGTAAATGAAAACTGCTTCTTCAAGTTGGAACTGTTCAAGCATACTTCATCCTGCCCTGTTGTATCATAATTTACTGCGAATACTCCACTATTTTTTCTGTTGAGTGAAGAATTTAACGTCGTTGGCCTTTTACCATATACCTTATTAAGATGCCGGTATAGACACAGAGAGCATGTGTCACTTTTTTCAATGAAAAGTGGACTGATTCTAGGAAGTTCTTCATCATCAATGGAATTTCGACTAACAGAGGATGTTTGCGTAACTTTATCATGCATACAGTTTGTGGATTCACTAGCCGGTCGTGGACAGAAATCAGAAATACTTCTATGCGATCCACCTTTAGCATGTTTAACGCTTTTTCTTGGATTAGATCCTACATTCACTGTACTGCCAAAGCCTGTACTACTACTGTCTGAACTGGTTCCAAAGGAATTTTTGTCATGCGTAAACTTATCTTGATTATAATAATAATGATCACTAGGACTTTCATCACTCGACTGGTTACGAATGCATTTTTTCTGATCAACAAGACTTTTCCTGCCTAGTCTGGAAAAGTCTTGTTGATGTGTACTGTGTGGTCTTCTGCGTGTTGCTGACTTCAGAGTCTCTCTTTTACTTGCATTCTCTACTTGTTTGTTATTTATAGAGTGTTGACTAGTATTCAAAAATACTTCTGGTGGTCTCTCATACTTAGAAAACCTCCAAGGCGGTTTGCTATAGGCTACTTGTCGTTTCTTCAGTCTTGTATCATACGGTGTTGTAGATGACCGGTAACTGTTGATCAGATTGGAATTGTTTTTCCAGCTTGCTTTCCTTCTTGTTTCACTACAGGACAACTTCCTGCGCTCTGTGTATGCGTCTAAATCACTACTCGTTTGGTTATCACTGTAATTCTGTTGATTGATGCTGTTTACAGTATTTATCGGTCTTGTGCAAATACTTATGCAATTAGACAGAGGCTTGCATGTTTCACATTTTACAAAATCATAGTCCTTCAATTGTCGACTGTTGCGTAATATGTTAATCCAGTGCATGTAGGGCTCTTGTTACATGAGGAAATAGATAATTCCGTTTGATGACAAGGTAAATAAAGTTTTAGAACGCCAGTGTTTGATCCAAAACAAGCATGACGTAAATTTTTATTCGCCTGCAAAACTGTATTAGACAGCGTCTTGGCTGTATAATATTTATATATATATTTTTTATTTTATTTTCAGTGATACAACAAACTAACCAGTGATGATTGTATTGAGCTGGTTACTTCTAAAATTTTATTGATCTGTGTCAAATTGAAATTGGTCATACACGTGACCAATCGTGTTATACTACAAAGCTAAAATGATTTCATTTATGACATATATTATTATCAATATTATTGTATCCTTTAATTCCTAGAAGAACATAGGGCTTCAGTCGTGCGTCTCCATTGCGTTCGGTTCTCTGCTAGAGTCTTCACCTGGCTCCAAGTCTGCCCACACGCTTTCATCTACTCTTCACACGACCTCCTCCAAGTCACCCACTCTTGCAATGACTACCAACTCGCCGCTTCTCTTACGGTCGGGTTCCACTCGAGCGATGGCTTGTCTAGTGATGTCACTCTCTTGATGGTTTCCTCAGAGTATGGCCACAATCCAATCCATCTCCATTTCTTCCTGCCTATTTGTTTCACAATCGGTTCCTGCTGTGTTGGTTCGCTCGCAGAGATCCCACCCTGTTGCTGATCTTTTCTGGCCGGCCGGCCATCTGATCTTGAGTTGTATTGAGCGAAGACAACTAGCTGTTAATGAAGGTCTGTAGTTTGTTTGAGATGCTCTTTATGACGCGCTAGCCAAATCTCTGATCCGTATAGTAGCACTGACATTTATGATTTCATTTATGACATATATATGAAGTAAAGATACTTTTGGGAATGTAAAACAAACCAAACCTAACAGAATTATTAAAATTTTACACAATTTTTAAATAATAGTTTGATATCAGGTGCTTTTCCTTTGCTGCTTATGGCTGTGACGAATGGATACTGAAAGTAGAAGAGTTGATAATACTAAAAAGAAACTGATCGTTCACGTCTTCATTTGGGGCCACACGGAAAGTGATAACGAAGTTGGGTGTAGAATGTTAGATACGATGAGTTGAAGTCGTTATTTTCCTTTTGATTGAGCTCTACAGAACAAGTGTCATGCACCTCTCAGCCTTGTGTCTTGCTCAACCGAATACGTTGAAGTGAAGTAAGGTTACTTTGGAAGAGTTGAAGGTGACTAGACCAACCCAGAAGATATGATATGATTATGAGCAATAGTTTGTGCTCGAAACGTTATCAGTTAATATTACTGTACAACACTGTGTGATTTATCAAAATAAAATCCTATCCAGAAGAATAATCCATGGAGTTATATCTGAGCTGTTTTAAGAAGGTTAATTTGCTTCACTGGAGTCCATCCGATTCTAAATCCGAAGCATTGTTCCTGCAGGTCCTACCATGCCAGGAAGGCTGTTAGGTTAGCAATTAGACTAAAAGCAGTTGCTTGCATTGTGTACGAATTTTTCCACTATGCTGGAGGTCTGTGGGCGAAGTCGTACTCCTGAAGAAAACCGGTGTACCAGTAGTGAGGTGTTTCCCTCAGATGACCAGCATGCCAGCCAGATATGCTGTCTCTCCACTCTGGAGAGAGGTGGTTAGAAAAGTTCAACCCCAACAACTGAACATCCCGACTAACCCTACGGTGGCCCGTAACCGGTGGTAAGTTTAATAATACGGAACCAATCCAAGAAGCCATTGCATACAGGCCGTATTTGACCGGCCTGGCTCAAGCAGTTGTCTCCTGGGCTTTACGGTCATCCAACACTAAACCTCTTCCTGTTTCAGGTACCCGAAGAATCAATCAACTTCCACGGTGTGAGCAGCTGGGAAGTGACAACCGCCCACACACTTCCAAAAGCACACGAAGCCTTCCCGAGCATCTGACAACAGGCATCACTAGCAAGAACTCTGGAGTCTTGAGCCATGGATGTATATTGTGTTTCGGAGACACGCATACAAGACCCGAGTGTGCTCATTCACTTAACCCCACCCGGCCAACAGGGTGAATCTGCAAAATCCACCTCAAGGGTGTCAGGAAACTGTTCGGCTAGTTCGCGAGGACTCGCAGGAGTAGGGATAGCTTTGAGTGTTAAGGCGGAAACATCACTTCTTGACTGGATCCCAGTCGATAGTCGTATGTGTGCGGTCCATCTGAACGGCTCCATTAGAAGAAGGAAGGACGGCATTACCCGTCGTTGCCCTCTCACGGTCTCTGCTTACGCCCATACAGACTGCAGTTTGCATGAACTAAAGGATGACTTCTATCTGAAACTGCCTAATTCGCTGCAAAAGGCAAAACGTTCAGATGTAGTTGTTTTAGCAGGTGACTTCAGTGCCCAAGTGGGGAAGTTGTGCCAGACTAAGAAGTATGTAGGTGTTACGTATGGAGTTCCCTGCCGACGAACCGAATACGGTGATTTTCTTCTACAGTTCTGTTCAGATTACCATCTGTTCCTAATCAGCACTAACATTAGGCACAAGGAGAAACACTACGTAACCTGGCGACCTCCATTACGAAATCAAC